TTGCAGTCTTACGTAAGAGATTTTAATTCCGTTTGGGGTTGTGCCTTAATTTTAAACCAGTTTGGGACTTCGATGAGTGGATAATTGCAGGACAGCAAAAGCATTGTTGTTTTTATGCGATCAAAAATACTATTTTCCTGACTGGCATGTTTTGTTTTAGACGTCGCAGTTAAATAAATAAATTCTTTTGACCTGACTTGACCTTTTTTTCTTACATTTGAATTTTACACTTAACTTAAGACCAAAGGCACTGAAAAGGCTTGTATTTCGACTGTAGAATCTGTACTTGAACTGACTCGTCAAGGACTCATGCTAAACCAACACGTCCCCATCTCTGGGCTCTTAAATAAAATGTTCAGTATCTAAAATCTGAAAATTTACTCAATGAAAACATGACTTGAAACTACGTTTATATGACTTCGGAAGACGTATTTTTCATGTACTGTACTCAGCTAGTTACTGAAGGATGACTCATTCCATTAGCCTGTTTCAAGTTAGGAAAGTGCAGATGTCAGTTTGGGGGCTTCTTGATACACTGTGGGCCTGATTCAACTTAGCATCTGCGAGGGGTGGAGATCTTGTGATAACCGCGACCTCAATGACAAACCCACACTCACATTCAGTACGCTTTAGATGAAGCTGCTGCTGACTGGTGCTTCCTGTCCGATGACCGACATGTAGATTCATGGAAGCAAAGTTTGATTTCCTTTAAACTGTCTCAATGTGTGCACTGGTAGATTACACTGTTGCAATCTGAAACAGCGATTTTGGTATTAATGCACATGATGAATTACAGTAAAAAAAAAACAAACAGATTTTTACATCTCATTCTCTGTTAACAAACAAGAAATATATTTGAGTGAGCTGTTTTTTAATTTTGCCAGCTCTGACCACACCTTTCGATGTTGCCCTTGCGTATTGCCATTTTCCTGCAGCTACTTGTGCTGACAGTGATCTCGTAATGGTAAAAATGTTGACGGTTGAGATTTGAATACCATGCGGGCCATCAGGAATTTACACACACACACAGATAAAAAACTAGTTTTCCTTTTTTTTATCTCATCAAATATACTTGCTCTCCTTCTTGTCCCACACTAATGCACATCAACTGTATGGTCAAATTGCTGCTGAGCTTCATCACTCATCTATGCCCAACAGGAAAGACACAAAAAAAAAGACTGAGACAGATGGGAAAGGAGACAGGAACCATTTTATGAGACAGATGTACAGCGCACTCATCTTTACAGGGCTGTTCAAAAACACACCATTTCCTTACAATTACTGAACTGAGGAAGAAAAAGAGGAAAGTCTAATTTTTAAAAAAAAGTATTATGTGTTTAGTTCTGTCAGTTATCTAATCAGCCACAAGTCAATATCTTTATAAATCAGTGGTAAAACTGGTCAGAATCACATCCGTGTTACTGCTTTCATGCGTGCTAAACAAGATAAAGGCATTCTTGCTTCAAGATCTGGGCTAGTTATGCGTGTTTCTGAATGCTGTTGGCACAGACAACATCAAGAAGGCAAACTTGATTTAATCACAGACTGCACACTTGAAAAAATGTGGATCCCAGTGGAGAGCACTTTAAGTAATAAAATCTCACTCTGAGGTATCTGTGGAACTCTGGAAACAAACTGAACTCTGACACAGAAAACTCTGTGAACTGAGTGTTAATTATTATTTTATGCCATTTGTTTAGATGCTTCAGATCCTGTTTTCATTTCATTGTGCTAAAACTGATGATAGAAAATAACAGGAGGGACTGATTACATAATTCACACACACATGAAATTGTGACTTGAGAAAAGAGAAACCTAACCCATTTTTCTCTGTTTCTGGGTTTCTTGTGGATATTTACTGACATCAGACTAACTGAATTTGCAGGGGATGCAGTCTAAAGTGCAGTCTGTCAGATAAATTACTGAACCTTTCTGTTTTGTTGTCCACCCTGCCAGCGCTGGCTAGGTTGAGTCAGGTTTGACTTGATTTAAGCGTTCACACTGCATAGATCAGAAACCAAAAAGCCCAGTGGTCCAGATAATAATTGGAAAAAAATGTGACTGCATGAATCTTTTTTTTTCATTTTTAATGTCTATGCTAATACAAAAAATGCATACTGATAATGCATGTGATACAAATAAACCATCTGAATTAGGGCATTTTAGGTTGAAGGGAGAGCTTTCAAAAAGCACATGACTGCTGACGGACTCATTGGGTGATATGAGGATCAAACTTGGGAGGTTATGGGACTGCCTCTACCTTCCAGTTCATCCTGTTTAACAGCTGTTTAGGGTGAACTACAGTTCGAGTTTCTTTTATCGATGCAACCATAAAGAACAACAGTGCTATTAAAACGACAGGATAAACATTATCGCTGCAAAACCTTCAGGTTTTCCACCATTATTCGGAAAAGAATTTTAACCTTAGTCCACCGACATTCTGAGAAACTCCGATCTATAGATGGATATTGACTCATCACAACAGAGGCAGCAGCTCGGCTGTCGTTATTCATTTGTGTTACTGGGTTTGACAAACTTGCCTCAAGGCTGTTCTGGCCTGTATGTTCTATATACAGCCGACAACACTGAAGCTGTGCAACAGTCAGCAAACTTGAACTACAATCTGACCTAAACAGCATGGGAAAGGTACGTTCGTGCCTGCCCTAGGAGGTGTTTTAAATGATGAAGTACAGTGAATTCACAAAACTAATCTGTAACTGCAGCACATATATTCAATTAGACACAATATGCACAAGTTAAACAGGCAAAGCTGCTGATTTACAGCACTAGCGACTTGTCCCATAATTCCTCACTCCTGTTTACTTTGCTTTAAGCACTTTATGAAGCTAATTTCATTTTATGCATGCAGGCCTCACGGGAGAGACAATACTCTTCGGGGTCAGTAATCACTGAACATGCTAAATATGGTATAGGGCCTTTCATTACATAACCACTTAAATGAACATCATCTTTTTATACTACACATTTGAATTTAATCATTGACTGAAAACAATAGAAGTTGTTGCGTAGTTGGCTACATTGATCGTTTCATGTGGATGCGGCCTAGAAAGCTAAACTAAAGCTAGGGTCTCCACTGAATGGGATCGACGTGGCCCAACAATCTAACAAACCACACATCTCTATCAATAGCTGCACATAATTAACAGTGTTCCCTTTACACAAGCGACCAGGCAAGCATGTCAGTTTGTTCAATGTGGTCTCACTTAGTTTACAAAGTTAGACAGGAAGTCAGACAGTCGGACAGCTGTGTTGCTGTTAACACCAGGCAGTTTCACTGCATCCTCAGCATTTTTCCTCATTAATCAATCCTCTAATTTTGTATTCCAAAAGAGACATTTTAGAAATGGCCACTCTGCAATATCTTCTGCAACCTGTACCCACTCTTGGATACCTTCCTGATTTAAGAAATGCCAAGTGCGCAATATCCACTGCATCTTTTTGGATCCTCTCTTCTCTTTGCAGACATGTGTTGCACCAATAAAAGGGTAGGAGTGGCCCGGAGTGTGTTCTTAATCTCTTTATCCCTGCAACTCAGTGCTGCTTACTGTCCAATTCAAGAGATCTCTTCAAGCATCTGCCAAAAAGTTAATCAGCCTTTTTAAATCCCCTCCTGTGCAGTTGTCACTTTAATTTTGCTTTCCATACACTCATTCTTTGTTGTGTGGGAATATCTGACATAAGAATCACTTACTACAGGCTACTGCCGTTTTCATTAACCTCTATTGCACCACCCTACAGAAACTACACGGTTACACATGACTGACAACACGGTTTGTTACTATGAAAACAATGCAAGAAGCATTCCACGTTCACCTGACTGCGTGCCCAACCTACTACTGTGGTAGTGTAGGGAGCAAGGTAGCCAGAGCTTGTTTAGCATATGGCTGCTAAAACTGACATACCCTTAGGTGTAAATATCACATTTTTGAGTCAAGAAGGTGTTCAAGTTTGCATCCCTGAACAGGGAGTTAAAGTAAAACCACATGGCAACACAGTGCAAGAACCGATTCTCATCATAGAGAAGTTAGTGTCATCTTGTTATTCATAACAATATTTCAGTTAAACAGAACAAAACTCCAGTTAATACATCTTTTAGGGAAGTGTGCCAGTGGTGCACAATAGTGACTTTAAATAGAGCAAGTAGTTTTTCCAAGTAGATAGCTGCTGTGTTTGTTATATTCCAAAAGCGGTATTGATATATCAATCAGTCAGTCATTTATACTTAATTAATACAGCAAAAACAAATCAAATGCAGCTGAATTGTGCCCTGTAATACATGTGATGCTAAAAACGGATTTAGATTCATGCATTGCAAAAAATACAAAATAAAACAGAGGTAGTGAAAGATAATACAAGAAATAATAAATAAATAAAATTATTAAATATTCCACATAATACATGAATGCAGTAAAACTGCAAAATGGCATCAAAATAAACAGAAAAAAAACATAATACTCATGAAAAACACAAAATAAGTATACATTTTACAACCATAAATTTATAAAATACTACACAAAAGACAGACTGAATAAATGGGTGTTTACTTTATGTTTTAAAATAATCATATTTAGCGTTAGTGGTGCATTTCTCCTGAGTGTGTTGTGTTTACAGCCACTTCTAATACACAGCGGTGCCATACGCTACACCCATATGTCTAGCAGCGCGTACATGGGCAGAAACGCAATTACGCACAAAAACACAACAAGGCACGAACGGTAAAACAGCCAACTATGGCAGCGACATTATTTAAGTCTTAACTGGGAGAAACCCAGTCACCATCACAGAAATCACTTCCACCATCTCGGCTGAGCCCAGGCTTTCAAAAGCGGGGGAGGTTTAGCTTACATACCCACACACAGCAGCTAACACATACACTCTTACTAATCACAACCAAGTGTTCCCATGGTTGCACTTTCAGTCCCAAAAGACGAAACGGGGAGCCGCCGTGGCATTTTTTATTTTTATTTTTTTTTGCTTACCGAAAAGACGTCAACGTCCGTGGCAGCCATGGTGCGGAATGTATGGTGCTGGAGGAGCAGACTGAGCAGAGGCGAAAGGGAGCAGCCCTCGTCTCTCCGTACTACCCTGCTAAACTACCAAGGCGAGCCGCTGACAGGGATAGGAGGAGGAGGAGAGCAGCTGCTAACTGGGCAGGGAGGCTACTAGCTAGCTAGGCGGCAAGAGGAGCCCCTGCTGGTTCGCGTCTGCGTCGCTCCGGTAAACAGCGTCTTTTTCTTTGCTATTCCTTTCGTTTTAAGCCTAAAAAAGCCCAAAAGAGCCCCATTATTTCTCTAAAATGTGCAAACTGACACCAAAGCGAAGACATTTGAAAATAAATTGGCAATCAGAGTTAATGAGACATTCCTTTTTGGATATGCCTACTAATACAAATACATTTAACGGGTACAATTTTTAAAAAATTGCCTTCTCTTTTTCGTTAACTGTTATGAGTAATTAGCAAACAGATGTTCATATATTCTGAGTGTGAAAGCATTTTACAGTCGTTTTAAAGCGTTCCCAGGCGGTCTAATGTAAGCTAAAGTAGCCCGTGAACTATCTTGAGCTCACTCTGCATCTTTGGCTGTGACAGATACGTTCCAATATGGCCACTTCTGTGAAACTCCCATTCAGTCCAGGAATGTCATTTTTGCAAACATTGCAAGCTACGACAGGAGCGAGCAGCACCTCCGAGCAGATATATGTCAACAGCGAGTGGAGATAAAATAAAATCCCCAATCAATTCAATTTCGAAGGAGGGCATTACTATTTAAATTAATTAATGAGGTCAGAGATTGATTTTTACTAGAATGTGTCTCAGCCAATAGGAAAGCAAGCTACCACGTGACATTGTTGTACAATTTAGTCTCAGTTTGTAAAATTTATGTATTACATGCATTGCATTGTTTTTAAATTCTTATTTTCTGTAAGTGTTTTAATTTAATCAGTTTGAAAGGCTGCTGGCTTTCATGCTTCACATCAAACATACAACAAATAAAGCTAAATGCAAGCTTTGTGTGGGCTTGTGTGTGTGTGTGTTTTTGTGTTTGGTAGTTTGAGAAAAAAAAAGTTATGTTGGCAAGTTGTTGTGTGTTTTTGATTAATTAAATTATGATTGTTTCTTTTTGTAATAGTCAAAACAAAGTTAACCATAACACAACAGTTAGTACTGAATACAGTCCTTGCACCTGTAGGTGTATTGTTTATGTCACTGTGACAAGGAACAGCTTCATAGGTCTGCCTGATTCTGGGTTTTACATTTAGAAAAAGGAGAAATTCTTTAAATAATTTTTTTTTTTTTTTTTAATTAAAAAAGCAAGTTTGCCCGTTACCATCATCTAATTAATTCAACCTATCATATCAAGTTGATTGAACTTGTCTTCATAAACTCAGTTCATTTAACTAAGGTACTTATAAGATGAAAAAATATAAACATAAGTGTGGTTAGCACATGTTTTAGGGAAACAGGGAATCTTACATTTCTAAGCTGAGGGAACTTAAAATGATTGACAAAAAATGTGATCTTTAAAGCTCATAAATGTCGAAGAATAATGGTTAAGTGTTGAGCCTGCTGGAAAAGTTCTAGTTTTATTTATTTATTTTTAGAAGAAATAAAGAACAGCACTTCAGTGATTTTACTGGACAGCCTTCCTGAACCCTCAGCCACTTTGTTTGCAGCAAAACATCTGCATATATTATTCAAATTGCATCCACGTCCGCACTTTCCCCGGAAAGAGACTCCTCCAGGTGGGGAGGAGAGAAGTGAGCGGCCAGGTGAAGGCTAGCTGCTGTCACCAGAACAAAGGTGTAGCAGGACGCAGCCGAGTCAGAAGCTCTCACTTTGGAGTCCACGGGCTTTAATAATGGCTTTGACGCAAGAATCCGTCCTGTCTTTGCTGATAGCGGAGGGAGGAAAAGTAAAGAAGTCCGACTTGGTGGTGAAGTTCAAAGGCTCAATAGACTCCGGCGATCCCGCAGAGAAAGAACGGAACAAGGAGCTTTTCAAGACTTTTGTCAACAACCTCGCCGTCGTCAGAGAAATCGACGGTGTCCGATACGTCGTCCTGAGGAAAACGTTTCATCATTTGCTGGAAAGTGTCCAGCCTGCGGAGAACCATGTGGAAAAGACAGAAAATAAAGAGATCTCGCTGACAGGTGAGCAGCAGCGCCCACCTGCGCGGAGTGAAAAGACTGAAGGCTGTGAGGATGCAGGAGGGGAAAGATCAGCTGTTTCTGAACCTGATCAAGAAGAGCAGGATGAAACTCCTGCAGAGTTACTCTCTCCTATACAGCTGGCTCTGCAGAGGAGCAAATACAACAGTGTTAGAATTAAAAGGACCCTCAATTTTGAGATTCTCAGGCAGGACACAAATGGGGAGAACAGCTCAAATGAGGCCACCAGCATCCAAAGGAAACCCTACGCTTTGCCTCTGAGAATGCCGCCCAGTGCCACCAAGGTGGAGATCCGCAAGCTGAGGGTGGACCCAGATGAACCACCTCCTGAAAGTCCAAAACCAGATGCATTCAGGAACAAGCGAAGGCCACCTTCAGTGGAGACAAGCGGCAGCGTGAGTTCACCCCAGCTGAGGAGGGCAGTGAAGAGCACCAAGGCCTCAGAGGAGCCCAAAGAGACCAGGGGTCCCTCCGTGGTTCCCCTGGAGCAGTCTGAGCACGAATGGCTGGTTAAGAGTGCCGCCGGCCAGTGGAGCCAGGTTTATGGCCTGCTGCTCAGAGACAACCAGCTGGCCGAGAAAAAGGACTTCATGTCAGGGTTCACTGCTCTGCACTGGGCAGCCAAGTGTGGAAACAGTGACATGCTTGTGAAGATTATCGACCTATCCAAGCAGGGAGGAGTTGACATTGACATTAATGTAAAAGCACACGGAGGATACACTCCTTTACACATTGCTGCCTTGCACAGCCAGGACTACATCATGGCCATGCTGGTGAGGGAGTATGGAGCCAATGTAAACATCAGGGACAACTGCGGGAAGAAGGCTTACCAATATCTGCACAAAGACGTCGCTGGGGGTGTGAGGGAGATGCTGGGCGAACCTAAAGCTCAGGACAGAGCCCTGCCTGAGAAAGAGGAGCTGGAAATGGTCCCGGACCTCTCCAAGAGCCTGCATTCAATAAGCCGCCTCTTTCAGCCAAACACGACAAGCCACAAGAAGAAGCACAAGCAGAGGCTGGTGTTTCCCTCCCTGAGCGAAGACCCCAGTGAGGAGCGAGAAAACGGCAGCTTCAGACACAGACTCGCATCAGACGTTTTCATGTGAAGGCAGAGCTCTTGTTTTCATGAGAGAATAGTGAAAACACACCAGTAACCTTCAAAGAATTCGACCAACATTCCTCAGATTTTAATGGTTTCTTTAACAATGGTGAAATCACATGAAATCTTTCTTGTTTTTTCTGTCTTATTTATACTTCCTGACACTAATATTGAACTGAAAACTTGACTTCTGATCATATATGTACATATAATGTTTGTTGTGTGAAGGGATAATCATGAAAGTCTAGCAATTCTGGCAACATCTGGAAAAACAGATGTGTCTCTCAAATGGAAACCAAGTCATCAAGACTTGACAACGTCACAGAGTTTGTTTACTGACTGAATCAGCAGACTTGTGGTTTGGGATGTTACCTGCATGTCGCGTATCTCAGACAGTATTCAGGTGGGCCCAGTGAGTCGTCTTATTACTCACTCACATGCCTGTGGTCTCTTAAAGGCACCATTGGTTCAATTTCAGCTGTTGTTTTTCAAATTAAGCTTAAGATTTACAATTGTATAGCTGCATTGTGTTTGTTTTGTAGTTCATTTTCACTGTGTGAATTACTAATCACAATGAAATTCTACTTTTAAAGTTTTTTTGTACTGTAGCATTCTAATACAGGCAACAAAAACAACAGCACTGAGCATTACACAATGGAAAGAACTATGTTATTTATTTCATTTATGTAACAGGGCTTCCATTACCTCTTACCTTTTGCTATATATTCCCTTTTATTGTGATTTCAGACTGAACCTCATAACAAAATGTAAAAAAAAAAAAAAACCTCTTTTTACACTTTTTCTCACTACATCTTTCCACAGATAACTTTATTTTTAATATTTAGTTTTATTTAACAAACTTTCCTTACAATATTCCTGATTCAGAATAAATAAAAGAGTTGATGCTGAAAGTAAGTTAATGCAGAATAAATAAATTCTGATTTACCACGATCAAGACCTGACTCGCCTTCCTCTGTGTTTTCATTTCTTGAGTAAGACACGAACAGAGGGCAGTGATTTCATGAGGCAAACATGCACAGACTACAAAGTGAGGATGTGTTGACTTATGAGTGAATCAAACCGCTAGTAGCAAGAGAAATTATTAAATAAATAAAGAAAATCTGAGATGTTTGTGCCTCTGAGGCAAATTTAGAGCACTAACCTCATCTTTGCTTCACTTTAAATGGATGAATTATTAAATTCTGCGAAGCGTTAAGGAGAGGCAAACCTCCACTGAAAGAAACAAACATAGCATTTCACAGAATTACACTTCATTTTACTAGTACGAGGTACAAGGTGTGTTATTTAATAAGGTGTGTGCAGGTGTTCCATAAATCATTAATGTGCCAAACCCTCTGTGAAAAATGGCTTGCATCCATCTTCTGGCTTGTTGAGACAGCTGTGATTCAGCAAGATAAGCAGCTGAGTGGGATTACGAGTCTGTGTGTGTTAATAGCATCACTGCAGCCTGAGCAGCGACGTGAAGGCAAGACAGAGCAGAAGAAGAAAAAAATGGCCTTTGCTGCCTTGTTTCTTGTCTGTCGTGGTTCCATTTTGCACCGCAGATGTTACTAACTAGGTGACAACGAAGACGACATTCTTAGCTGCAACATGTTTGGAAAATGAAATCGAAAAACGAAAGGGAAAGAAACAGCATTGGGAAAATGTACGCCTCCTGCGGTCAGCCTCGTTTCCCCCCACCGTTCGTCTGTCCTCAAGTCGTCGCCCTCTGTTTCTCTCGTGTCTCACAATGTTATTTCCCCAGCAGCATGCATTGTCTCCACGTCAGGACGATGTTTCATCGCCGAGCCTCTGGGTTTTATTAAGCAAATGTTCTTTTCTGCGACTGCTGGGAGGAGAAAGGCCAGCACAAGGTCAGGAACAAGAGGCAGAGCGGTGTGGAGGGGGGGAAAGTGCTTAAATCCTACAGATAAAAGAACCAGCAGCAATAGTTAATGTTAAATTATACTATGCACATAAACAGCTCTGCATTATATGACCAACATGTAGACGTGTAAGCAGTAAAAATGTACTTTGAAGCACCAAAAGAAAAGAGATACTTGTTTTGAAATTGGTCAAATTATGAGCATTGGTGCAGCAATCTGTCTATATTCTGTTGAGACGCATCACATTTTTTGGATTTTTTGTGTTGCATCTACAACGTAATCTGTAAAATAACCATAAAAAGCTCAACTTCAGCTGTTAAAAGCTTAAAATGCAGTCAACTAAAACGTACATCTCACTGTAGTGTAGTATTTAAAAATAAATAAATAAATAAATAAATCAAGTGTAAAATCCCCTATGGCAAAATAAGAAACAAAGAGAAAGAAACAGAAATGTCACAACAGTGTACAGAATTACTGAGATTTCAAGGAATAGTTTTAAATATTCAGGAATTCATTCTTTCCTGTTTGTTCCTGGGAGCGAGATGGTAAGTTTGATACCACTTCCAAGTCTGTACTTTCAGCACAGTACCAGTGGTACCAAAATCAGCTGGTTGTCCCACAATCCTCCTGTAAGAACCTCCAGAACCAGGAGGTTGCTGGGCAACCAGTGGATTTAGTTTTTTTAGACAGAGCCATGTGAGGTGTTTCCCCCTATCTCCAGTCTCTGTACTAATCTGAACTAACCTGTAGCTTCATATCGATCCCACAAACATGAGAGCAGTATTGATTTCCCCGTCCTGTGAAAAAGTGTATTTCCCTAAACCATCCCTTTAAAAGGTAATTAAATGACTTTATCAGTGTCAGCTGATGTTCAGTAGAGTGTCTCCTCTGTTTCTTCAACTACTGGAAACAATTATGTGTAAATCTATAATGTCTTTGTGTGGAGAAAAGGCAACACAAATTAGGCCAATCCTACATCATACCTTGACAGATGTCCGCTTAAACTCAGGTTTAAACAAATGTCTGATCTCTCTCAAGTCACACAAAATACGTTTTATTATGTATAGATATAATGCAGTTCACTAAAACAGTCCTGCTATGATATCTTTTTTTTTGCAAAGCCGTAATGTGAAGTGTTTGGTGGCATTAGCAGCAATGTGTTAATTCAATTATATGTTTTTTAGATTATACTGAAAGCTGTTTTTTTATATTTTTTGTCCTCTCTTTGTTACATGCATGATCAATAAATATATATATATATATTGAAAACACCTCTTAGGAGTAACTGTGACCTCAACACTAAAACATAGAATTAAATAAATACCTCTGTGACAGTGTCAACAAAAACTATATTTATACATTTATAGGCATCATAAAATCGGATTTTATGGCACACCAGGTGTACCAAATAAAGTGGACACTGAGTGTAAAGAGGAAGGTCTGGAATTCATTACCATTATAAATTATCATCCCTTACATCCCTTAAATTAGCTTAATATGAGCCAAGCGTCAACAGGAACACATAGAGGCAGTAAAACATGGTGATATACAGGTCTGCCATTAGTTATTTGGCTTGACAGCAAGCTTTTGTTAACCTTCATAGCTGAGCTGAGTAATGACTGGCAGAGGTTGCAGGCTGACTGAGGGTGTGCTGACATTCCTGCGGGCGGAGAGTTCAGAGTTCAGGTGGAAAAGTCAGTCAGAGCACCTGGCAGAGCAATCACTGAGTCATTCGTCTTGATAAACAAGCCTCCTGACCTGCCGCTGTATATTCTGGCCATTTTAACACAGTTGTTTCATTGCACGAAGCAATAGGCACCCTCATTCTGTAGACTCCCAGCTGGAGTTTATGTTAGATCTACTGTTTTCCTGCATCACTTTGGAGACAGAGGGACACAGTTAGTGATTATCAGCTGCAAAGCTCCTCATTATCCAGCGCAGTGACAGAAGTGCTGCAGTGTTTAGGCCCTCCTGTCCCCTACAGTTGCTTATCTGCAGCAATGTTCCATCACTTTACGCTGTCGTTGTAATGACACTAAACCTCGTTGCCATGCAATTACTGTCTGACAAAGATTTGACTTGTTTAGAAATCCCCGAGTTGTGTTTTATACCTCTGCTGCTTCTGAGGGAATCTGATTAAAAGCTTCTTTTTTTTAAAACTTCTGCAAAGTACACTGAGTGCTGTCGGCCGTCTCTCGCCGTCCTCTTGGGATTTTTCTCTCCCACTTGCCAATGTGAAACCAAGCATTTATGTTTTTTTGTCAGTTCATTCTGTGCTCTTTCTAATAAGCATTTGTTGTGTCTGACGAAGTAGATGCCATTCCACTGTGGTTCCGAACAAATGGGAGCAGTGAGGCATGAAATACACGACAGGAGGAAGACAACAGCCAACTGCGGAAAACATATCTAACCACGTCATTTAGTCCTCAAAAATCAGATTTTTCCCCCTACAGGAATAGTTTCCTGGAGACTTCCTTGTCTGTGTGTTCAATACAGACCTGGAGCCAGGAGGCGGTTAGCGTAGCTTAGCATGAAGACTGAAAGCAGGGGGAAACTGAAAACTGGACCCTGTCCAAATTCAAAAATGGCAACCAATATGTCACACTAAGTAATTCTATCATGCTATTTAACCACATAAACAGAAAAAAAAAACAAACTTGTGGCCCTTCTTCGTAAATAATTTTGACACTAGGCTAAAAAAAAAACTCCCAAAACTTTGCATGAACAGCTGTTGTTATGAAAAGTTACAGCATGTATGTCATTTCCATTTGTACATGCATTAAAGAAACAAGTTACTTTGTATTCATTAGTGAGCTTTACAAGCACTAGTCTGTATATTTTTCAACTTTAAACAGATTCAGGTTAGCTGTTTCCTTCTAATTCCACAGTTTCTGCTAAGCTAAGCTACGTTAACTGTGTCACCCTAGCTACCACTTCACTTATTAACACATTATCCTATTTATCTGCACAAAACTCATCAGACTAAATCCAACAAGATAGAAAATGTGATTTAGTGTTTTGCACTGTATATGCTAGGCTTTGCTAATTTGCATAAGGGGCATAAGCTTCGCATCAATCTTCTTGTCTAACCTCCAGAAAAAATAGCCAAAGAGTGGATTTCCCAAAATCTCAAAATATTCCTGTAAAGCCATTTTCTGTATTCATTTGGTGACGGTATGTGACTAGGGCCTTTGCTTCTTCTGCTGTATTGTCTGCAAGATGATGTCAAAACTATCACGCTGAGTTTCATGAAACTTGGTGAAGAGATGCGGGATTGGCACAGAAAACCCCAATAAATGTTGGTGCTGATCCAGATTCCTTTCATTAAATTTGAGAGACAAGTCAGAGGTCTGGACAGAGGATAAAATCTTTAAATGCTCTTGAAAGGTGTCATTTTGTTTCAGTCTCCTGACACTGATATTATGGGGACAAGATGCAACAATGCAGCTTAAAGCTTGCACAATTCCGCTCACAATAAAAGCATAATAAAGTTCTCAAAAAATCTCCTTCATTTAATTACAGGCCCATTTTTGTCCATCATCTTTTTGTGTCAAATACTTTTTAATGCAATTTTCCTCCTCGCATAGTAAAGCATAGATTTAATAACTGGCTGCAATTGTTTTCCACCTGCAAATGTTTAAACCAAAACTTTTAATAAAAAAGCAGAGTGAAGATAAATATGATTGCTGCTCCCAGGACACTTCTGTGACAGTAAATGATTTTACTCGTAGAGACAGTGTGTCGATTTTCCTGCAGAGGGCACAAACGAGCTCTGATTGGAACAACCCAACCTAGAAAGTCTACTGAGGAAACCAAAATATGTCATTAACAGGATCGCAGACAAAATATCCCATCCAAACTGCTCTCATAACTTAAATATTACGTTTGCCATGGAAAACAAAACATGACTCATTTAGCCTCATTTTGCCGTTCTGTATATCGTCTGTCATTCCTTGAACTTGATGTAATTCACTTCTGCTTCTACAGATTACTTCTCACTGCCATGTGACTCTGCATTGGAAATACATTATGTCATATGTTATTTGGACTTACACAAGTGGTAAAAAAAAAAAAAAATAGAAATGAGATACAGCAGAAGGAGAGGGAGGGCTTAATTTATTCACAATATTACAAACATCATGGAATTTAAAACTCCAAACAGGCACAAAACAGCAACTCTTAACAGAAAACAGGTGTGAAATATCGCAGTAAAAGTAGATTTAGAAATGTCTCTGCTTTCATCACTGCCAGCTGGGACTCACTGAAATGTCTTTCCATCTTGGCTTTACCACAAAGTCTATTCATACCAATGTCATCTCCAGTGTTTGAAACAAAGCCCCCTCTTTCCTGTGACTTCAACAAAACACTGCTATGATTGAAAGAGAGAAACTAGAAATGACGCAGGAAGTTGTCAAATGTTTGTTTGTGGGCACTCATACAGTAGCAGGGAACTAAAATTAGTGTGTATCCATGTGCTGCCCCGCTTCTCCAAAATGTTGGTCTTCTGCATACTTTAGGAATTCCAGCAAGCTGCAGGGAACAACATGAGAGTCTTTCTAACCCTTCAGCCCTGCGTCAGCACAAAGGCCAAAACAAGCATACATTTGTTTAGCAAACTGAAACGGACAGAGTCATAAATCTCCAGAGAAATGTTTTGTGGGTGGTGGCGGATCTGGAGAAACTGTTTTGCACAAAAACATGAAAACATCCTTCAAGGTGGAAGGGTTTCTGGTATCTGAGGAAAATCTGCTTTTATTATTATTTGTTGTCCTCTTCTTTTGACGTTCTGAATGAATGTTTTTTTCATTTCGAGGCTGCTGTTGATGCTCTGCCTCTGTGTAGTCCTTGTTACATAAATAGGATACACACAACTGACAACCCAACATTTTCATCATTTTATGACTTCATGGGAGTTTAATGGAAAGCTAACACAGCAAACGCCAAGAGGAGTTCTGTCTTTCTGTTCAACGACTAACCTCTACACAAACAAAATTAAGACATTCATGAGCTTGCGTCCACACACACTGCACATATTGTGACGCAGAACGACAACTCGCATTATTCTCTGACTACTCTCCATGTTTCTGGTCCAAGATTCAGTAAAATTAATACAGCTATAAAAAACTAAATGTTATTGTAGAAACACAGATGCTGTTTAAAAATGTGAGAACCTTGAAAAATTGTGTCGGGGAGGTAATTTGATTCAAGTGTGTGTTTTCAAGAAGAGCTTTTGAACTTATGACCAGTGTGTCAATTTAAATAAAGAGTCACATGTCTAAAAGGGGCTATACTGTGGAGGTAGAGAACAGAGAATTAGTTTAAGACACCTGAAGTGAAGATTGTGGACTTATACCTAATAAAAAAAGTAATTCAAGTATCACGTGTCACTTTACTCAGTGATATAATTGTTGCTCACTTATAATCTGCTTTAAAGAGGTTTAGCTCCTCTGTATGATGAACTGTTCCAGCATAAAATCATCAAGACTTCACAACAATACAGTATGAAATTAGCTGGAAAAGTACTTGTACACAATCCTCCTAAATTAATGACATAACAAATTCAAGAAGAAAAAGGAGAAAATGTGTAAGTGGATGGAGTAAGGCTTTTACTTGAAATTATTTTGAATCTGATTTGAAGAAATGTGCATTTATGTATCTTTACAAAGTGCTTTTTTTCATTCACCTTTTTTGGTTTTTAGTGCCTTAATTTGAAACACATTTAACAATAAGAACATTTTTTAAAAAAAAAAGAGGAAATCTACTACATCTATTGTACATTTTACTGACATGATACAGTACACCACCCCACTCTCAGGCAACTCTCTTTCACTGAAGCCTTCTCACTGCTCAAATACAATCTTAAAGCTTATAGTAGGTTTCCACAGGTGCAGATACAGGGCTGTAGGACTATCATCTTAATGAAAAGTGAAGAGCAGTTCTTGAATTGCTAACATGGGACGCAAAGTTTCTGCACAGCAGCTCTAGTGGTAAATGTTCCACAGCGACAACAATATCAAGGCACACAGAAATACAGTTCAGTCCTGTTCAAAGGGAAAGAGGAACATATACAGTATTGGGACAAGTCTTCTTGCACACTGCGGACTGTGCAAGCTGAGAGCGGTGTTGGGCGGTGAGTCGATGAGCGTTCTCAGCACTCTGGGTAGATGACAAGAAGGCAAGGAGCTTCAGTCTCAGCACTCGTTACAGCTCACCTCGTGTACCGCTTAAATTAAAGAGAATGGCATGATTGGTTCTCCTATGGATCTGCCAAACTCGTAAGAAACTCCTGACAGGGTGCAAAGCGTTGGAGAGTCCAGCTAGACCTCAATCAGGCAAACAGAGCCAGAAAAGTACAGCTACATGTCATTTTGAAGAAGCCATCCTTCTTCTATGAAAGTGAAGTAAATCCAGAGCTTTTGCTTCTCATCCCTCCTCACAGATTCAGGCTGTTGGAAAGGGCCTCCAGCTGCTCCTCTCCCAGCCTCTGTTTCTCCTCCAGGTCCTTCTGCCGGATGAGCAGCGAGGCCTTGGTCTGCACAAAGCGCCGGTAGTCCTGCAGCTGCTCGGCGGACAGCTGACGTGACAGGAAGGTGGAGACCAGGTTCTCTCTGCGGTCCAGGTTATCCTTCAGATCTTTGGCGTCCTCCCTCTGTTTGCACAGCAGACGGTGGCGACTGTCCAGAGATTGCTGCATGCAGATACAGAGAGGGAAGGCAAGATAGATTAGATTTCCTTTTGATTTTAATAACACTATTGGGGATAAATACATATATATGTTGGACCTGTTATTGAAATTTTTACTTTGTTTTGGTTTTGAATCCATGCCTTGCAGACTATTAGACTCAAGTTTATAGCACAAATGCATAAAGAAATGTTTTGCTGTGATCTTGCTAAAAACTAGTATAGAATTAGGAGAGGTCTACTATCAGAAAATCTTATTTTTTTGTCCAAATTGAAAGGTGACACCATGTTCTGTGTGACAGGCAGCTGTGAAAGTTGTGTGATTATGCTTAAAACAGCTACAAAACAGGAGGTGCAGTGTTTCCTTAGGTCAACAGAGGGCAGGGTAGATACAAATGTCATCGAAACTGGGCTGGAGTTTCGGTGAGTCAGTGTAAATACCAGTGTTGCTGATAACAGCAAGAAAACAAATGAGCCTCTAACAAGCCCTCAGTATGCAGCACGCTCAGCCACGCTTTTACAGATGGACAAACCAACAAAGAGGGCCTTTCAGGGATAAATCTAGAAATCTAATGCATCCATGCAAACATAAAATGATGCTGAAAATACTGGGAGGCATCATTAAATGGGATATTCAGAGGGACAACAAAGCAAAGCACAGAGCTCAAGTTAAACCTGTGACAGTGCTCCTGATAATCCTTGAGGATAAACTCATAGTTAATGCAGACGTGATAAGATAAAAACCTGCATGCACAACAGTAAATATCTTCAAACGAGCACTAACTAACTCAGAAGCAGCAGGTAATTAAGTTGTTATTGCTTACTAAGTCACACTTTTTGGACACAAACTCTTGAAGTGCGACGCGATCAAACCACAATATATCAAAAATAAACTTCAGATGTCTGATAAATTGTTCAGCTCAAACACAGATAAGCTCAAAATGGGCAATTAAACACAGATAAACCCAGCAACATTTTTTACATTCCACACAGTGAAAACCTTGACTCCATTAAAGTCGCCCTTCAACTTTTCCCAAGTGGCATGTTTGCTGTTCTAAAGTAAACAGAGCAAGAGTATGGCTGAGGGCATGGGAGCAGCAATGCACTTCTAACACTAACGGCCGCCTTGAGCCAGAAGCTCAAAATGAGCTGCGGTGAATCATGAGATCCTTGAGGTTACATGACATAACATTCCCCGAGGAGCACTCGCTGACAGTATGCTTTCACTCGCGTGCATTAGTGTGTATATGTAAACAGCATTAAGGGGAAAGGGCAGGGGCATAAATGGAGTCATAATACACTAATAAGATTCTTATCAAGTCTTATTTAACAGTGGACTTTTAACTTTATATATCACTCAGATATCAGAGGAGGCCGCACGTTTGTTCACAAGATCAGCACTTCTTGTGGTGGGACATCAAAGAAAGCGCTGATGTAGTGACACTGAACCGAGATTCATAATCTTAGGTTTTGGTTCTATGCTTTCAATTATTTATGTGATGGAAATAATTGCTACTGATAGTGAAAGAAAATCCAAATCCAAAGACAAACAAAGGCAGAATGAACGCTGTGAAAAGGATTATGTGAATTTAGTTACTGTTTGCAGAAACATTTCAAGCAATCCCGGCAGGAAAGTGCATGAGTCAATAAGGTAACTTTGACACAAAGTGAAAGCCGTAAATTCATAACAGAAGTGAATTATTCATCTGAGCCGATACATGGCATTTAGAAATGAGTGAATAACAAAGTTTGCTGCCAAGGTAAAAGGAAAATGTGAACCCACACATCTCTGAATAATGGGGATGGAAAAAACAGATAAAGGTTTTGGTTTCTCACCTTCTCCTCAGCATCTGTGTGTTGGTCCACGGTGCTCAGGGCGTTCTGCACTCTGGCCAGCCGAGCAGAGAGGCACAGCAGCAGGCTGACCACCCTCTCCAGGTCCCCTATGAACAGGTTGTACCTCTCCAGCTCCACGGGCAGACAGCGTTCACGGACCAGCACCTCCAGCGCCTCACCGCAGCCTGCATTCTCCTCAACCTCCGTCTGGAGAGCACCACGCGTCTCTTCCAGTGAACGCTGACGCTCCTCAATATAGGACACTAACAGACGCTGATAATTAAAGCAGAGAAAAGAAATGTATGAGACATTTTAGGCCATGATGTTACAGAAAATAGACACACAAGGGGAGAACATGAAAGTGAAAGTGAAAAAAAATGTGGAGAAAAACTATAGATAATTTTACACTACAGGTGAACAAATTAAAACATGTATTTGACACATAATCATGAGTGACAGTATACTGTAAAAGTAGTGACTGAATGTGCAGGGCAGTCAGGAAGAAGAGGGAGGTTACTCGCTAAGCCAACATTAGACAAGAGGGAGACACTGATAAGAGACAGACAGTACATCATGTGATAAGAGAGACACAACTATCTCTGCTTTAAACGATCCACTTAAGGCCAAATAGCATCCAGATGGTATCAATATGAAATTCATCAGTTTCTGCTTTAAAGAGAGGAACAGAATGAGTCCACAGTTTTAAATGTGAAATGAAAGTGGATTGTTTTGCTGCTCTGTCCAGTACATGCAACAAAGCTGGGATGATTTTGATCATACACTGCATCTATTTAGAAGAAAGTTATCATTTTGCCTGCATACTGGTCACATTAAGTTGTATTTGTTATTTTAGTAATGAATTATTTCTGTTTTAATTGTGAGATACTTCCCTCTTAAATGAAATGAAATGAAAAATAGTTTATTTATCCCAGAAGGGAAATTCAATCCTCCCACTAAACACACTCTGTTCACACTTCATCATCTTGTGCAGCATTCTTTCTTAATTATAATTACTTAATTATAATTAATTACTTAATTCTTAACAATAAAGGATTGCATGTGTACTGTGAGTCATTTTAAGACAAAAAAAAAAACACCTGGTATTTTGCGTAAACTGATAATTACCTTCTTCTCAATGATGTCAGCTTTGCTCTGCACGTCTGTACACTGAGGTTTCTGGCTTTCAGAAGCAGGAGGACAGGGAGATGGTTCAGCCCCTTCGACTGTTTCAGCACTACAAAGAGAAACGTGTTTATGTCAAAATAATATTCTTGATCCATCCAATTATTCTTGTCATCATAATACAGTCATGCTCAAATCCAGTTCGTCGTTCACCTGATTCAAATTTAATATCTTTATGTGGAGTATGCTCTGAACAAGGCCTCGGTGTTATGTGCAAATTACAAAACTCTGAACTGCAATCGCACATTCTTAACATATCTGAAGTGTGCTTACACTTGCAGAAATCTGAGTGCATGTACAGCAGTAAGCAAATAGCCAGGTGTGTCTGTGCATGTGATGCAACAAAAGGTAACACAGCACTGGTGGAGCTCAGTTCTTGAGCCATTAGAAACCAGTGTCAAGTTTCGTGGAAACAAATTAAACCCGGAATGCTAATTAGCCTGGTCTAGTTTGCGGTCTAAACTCGTTGCACTCTAAAATAGCTCAAAAGGTGTCTGTGAGATCTATTACTCTTTCTGTCTACAGAGCTGTGCACAAAAGGATAAATGGTCACCTGGATGTCCACTTCTTTACAGCTATTTTCACCTATTTACTTCTTGACAGGAATCTGCTGTTTTTTTTCCAACTGAGGCAATAAAATGCAATAGAATTTACATTTTCTCATTGTAACTGTAATTGTAACCCTAAGCTGTGTTTTGTGACATTAACATTCACCTCTCTGCAGCTCCTTTCTGCTCCTGCTTCTTCTTGTAGTGCTCCTCCATCAGCAGCGTATCCTCTGACAGCAGCTGCTCCATCAGCATCAGTGCTGTCTTACGGTTGGCCAGCGGGTACAGCACTCTGGTCAACGATTGGTCCACTCTGACCACTGCTTCAACAAGCTCCTCCCACTGAGGTCTCTCAACAGACTTCTCCTGGCTCTCAGTCTCTCCCTCTGGTGTTCCCCTCTCTTCCATCTCCTGGTTTTCTCCCACCTTCTCATCTTCCATGTCTGGGTCTTTCTCCTCTTCCACCTGCTGACTGATGTCTGCCTCAGAGACGGAGGTGCAGGGCGACACAGAGGTTTCACTTGTCTGCTTTGGAGGGACTGAGCTGGTGGGTTCGTCAAAAACACTGTCTATCAGTGGAGAAGTCTGGCCTTCGTCTTTGATCTCTTCTTCTGGTGGGAGAATCCACAGCGAAGGATCTGTGGTGACACCGCAGCTCAGAGACACTTCATGGTTTAAATCAGGCAGCTGGGCCTCATTGCTTGGTTTATCCACCGACTGTTCTCTCTCTGATCCAGTCACAGAAGGAGAAGTCCTGACTCTACTGGAAATGAAGGAAATCATAGTTGAGAATCACATCTGGATTAAATCATATTTGCAGAATTACACAAAAAACACCCATTTAAGATTGTTTTGTGCCTGATACATTCAAATAATGATGTTTCAGTGCATGTCATAGAAAAAGGGTGTGGCCAGTTCAATTAGCGAGTATGTTCCACAGTGGAAACAACTAATGCATTCATGCAGAGTCTAATCTTACCTGGTGCTAGGCCTGTTTTCACAAGGAAGCTTTGTCTGGATGGGTGTGGGCAAGGTGGATTTGATCTCCCTCTCACTGATCTCTGGACCTTTGGGGGAAGGTGGGTTAGAAGAAGCCTCACTTGGAGGTCTAATAGAGTCATCTGTGACAGGGTTGTGTGATGCAGGAGGAGCAGAGTAAATCCTGGCCCGTGTGGAGGAGCAGCAGGTTGGGGAGGTGGATCTACTCGAGTTCCTCATTCCCACTGTTGCATCCTCCCCTGGTTCAGAGCTCTGCTTCAACAGGGGTTTTTTCTGGGTTTGGTTTTGTGTCTGTTCCTGAGTGTTCTTCTGACCAAGAACCTCTGGTTCTTTTCCTGTTTCCTCGGACACATATTGTTTCTTCCTCCACCTTTCCTGTCCCTGAGCTTCTCTAACTTCAGCAAAGTACGCAACACTCTGTTCTCTGTCGGATCCTCCTGGCCCAGTCGAATGCCTCCACAGTTGATCCAGCTGCTCAGAACTTTTACTTAGGGCTGACAGTTTTAACTTTGATGCCCCCAGCTCTTCCATGGACTTTCCTCTTGGTGCAACCACACGGACACGCTGCTGGCCCTCAGGGGCTGGCTTTACCAAGGATTGCTCAGCGACATTCTTCAGGGAGCTGAAATTGAAATTCAGTGTTGAAATGTGTAACTCATGTAAAGTGTGATTATTTTAGAAACAGAAAGCCCTGAAATGCAATTTCTTGAAGGTTTAATATGAATCATTCAGAGAAGGGCTCTGGAAAATGTTATTTTAAGACTGGGAATATGAATTGGAAGTCAACATAGTTTCAAGAAATAGGCCAACTCCTTGAAAATACCTCAGTCTATTATTCTTTTTTTTACAGTCCATGCGTAAATCTTTTGAAAGGAATGCCGGTTTGCTGGAGCAGGTGGGTGTTGACTTTCTAGTGCCACAATGAATCAAGTCGAGACTTATAGTCTGTGCCACAGTGCACACATCACTGACCTAATACTCTCCTGACCTAAAACCAATAAAAATGTCCCAATTTGTCTGTAGCACTGGTACATACCTTGAGGTTTCCATAGTATTAACTGGTAATGGATCCTCCTCAAAGTCATGTGCCTGCTGACACAAAAAAAGAGAAAAAGGCAGCATACGAATTACATTTGAATCTGTACATACAGTTGTCTTGTAGCCAGGTATGCAAAAGGAACAAATGTGAAATACTGCAGTCAAAGCTGAGCTATGGTTAAAGAATATTTAGCTTTTGTTTGCTTGCCTGTACAAATGTTAAGTCTCCAACAAACACCAGTGCAAGCGCTATAACAAATTGGCTTCACTACAATGAAAGAAACCCTAAACTGTGGCACTTAGGATAAGAGAAAGGGTTAAAGCTGAGACTTTCTGCAAGTATTGCTAATAACTTGACTCAGTTTACCTCAAGTACATGTGGTGTAGATGTGGAACGGTTCCTGAAGAAACTAGGTGGCTCTTGCTGTGGCTCTCTCTGGTCCAAGAGACTCTCCACTGAAGCAGACTTTCCCTGAGATGGCCCTTGGCTCTCCCTCCATCTGGACTGATTCTGCTGGCCAGCATATTGGCCTGAACAAGACTGTGCTGAGAAGAACTGTGCATACCTGTTTTGTGAAAATTAAAACAATTAAAACACTTGATATGATACAAAATAGAACCAAGTTCTCTCACTCTCTTGCCTCTCTTTTGTACCTGATAGAGCTGGTGGAGGAATCAAGGATGCGGCCTGCGGAATGGGGTCTATGGAGCTTCTTCTTTGTAGTTTTACCTTCATGATTCCCTGATAGAGGCCTGGGACCCCAGTCAAATGGTTTCTCCCCCAGAGAGTGCCTCTGTCTGGGTGGAAGTGGCAACTGAGACGTTGCTTGCTGGGGCTCTGCTACTTTCTGGCCCGTCTTGCGCTCCATGTAATCCACCAGGGCCTTATGTCGCAGTTGTTTTAGGTTTGTCTTTGAGCTGCTCGAAGTGGACAAAGCTCGGCCTCTTGTTTCAAACATCTTTCGCCGTGCTGCAACCAGCCCTTGCTCTCCTTGTTGCACATGCTCCTCCATCTCATATTCAACTGCAAATGGGTTTTCGCTTTCGCTGCCGAAGGAGCGGCAAGAGGAGTGGCTGGGGGTGCCGCCAAGCTGGTTGAGTTTGTCTGGTTCGGAGTAGCACATCTTTTTCTGCTCGGGAGTCAGTCTCTTCCTGCCGCCAATGCGTGCCACCTGGGGCTGGGCCACATTTGTTGGCCTCTCATTTTCCTTTACAGGCTCTTCTTCCATCTCCTTCTGATTTTCCCCAACTTCTTCTTTAATGCTTCCCTTCTCTGTCTCCTCAGAGGCCACAGAGGGAGTGAGTGTGTCCGTTGAAGTCTCAGAGTCCTGCGATGAGGAGAAAGAGTGAATTGCTGTAGGCCTGAGCTCAGGTTTTTGCCTGACACGGTGTGGCCATGACAGCTGCAGGTCTCTCCGTTTAAAAGACGTCTCCCTCAGGACTTTCGACTGGGCATCCTTGAGCTTCTCTTTGTAGTATTTTTTAAATGAGTCATCTAGGGTGTTACAGGCAACGGAGGTAACTTCCCCTTTATTGCTTTTGCTAATGTCACCTTGCAGAGGTCTCTCATTATCATTTACTGCCACATCTCCTTGGCTGGTTTTATTTAGGACTGCTTCTTTACTTTTTATACTGAAATCGGGATCCTTCTTAGGCTGTAACACTGCCCTGCTGGCTCCAGTGAGGTGATACAGAAGCGGGGTTGTTTCTTTGTTTATCCTCTCACTTGCAACATCCCCTAGAGGCTGCCGTTTCCCTCTCTTTGCCTGCTCTTCTCTCTTGTGTTGGTTGGGCTGTTCATTGCTGATCAGGGAGTTGGCCTCCTTCATTTGTGAGGTTGAATGTGGTGGTGGGCAGTTTCTGTCAGGTCCACAGTAGAATATAGGGTTGTTGGCAGTGTGGCGGCCAATGTCTCGACTCTGCATCATGTCAGTTTCTTCTAAGGTGTCGAAGCTTCGAGAGGACTGAGTCAAAATTAAGGCTGGTCTGTGATTCTCCTGATCCTGGCTCTGGGATATCAGGTCCTTTCCCTGGGACACAGAGGTGAAAACCTCCCTCTCATCTGAAATCGTACCACTGGAAGAGCAAGAACTCCTTTGGAGAGGTCTAAACAAATTATCCATAGTGCTGTGGCTTCTTTCTTTCTCTCTAAACTGGTGTGTCTCCAGCACAGTGGAGATCTCACTTCCAGTCTCAGACCCACAAACAGACAGAGAGTGTGTCCTCATACCTGATTCAGGCTGCTTACACATTCCAGTGACAAAGTAGAACTGACCCTTATGCTGGATGCTGCTGCTGACAAAACTCTGACCAGCATTCCAGGGGCTGGCAGCTCGGGTTGGCTCTGAACCAAGCCAATCATGAGCTGAGTGTGCCCTTTTACGTTGACTTTCAAAATGGCTACTGCTGATGGGTTTGTTAAAATGGTCTTCATTACCTCCACCACTACCAGAGGGCTGTTTGGGTGTCAGGTGTTCTGGGTGGCTCGTACCTCGGGGTGGTGATCGGCTTAGGATGTTGGTTGACTTCTGCTGCTCAAGGGCAGCTTTGTTATCTGTGATGAAAAGGTATTCTGGGTTCAGTGGCACCCTGGCCTGATCATGAGGCTGGAGATGGGGTCGGTAGCTTGGTGGCTGCTGGGCTTGTTGCTGTTGAGGGCTTCTCCAAACTGAGTACACTGGGTCAGAATTGATGTTTGAGCTCCCTGTATCGGAATTAGCCGTCTCAGATTTTGAAGCATTTAGGCCATGGGGCTGTGGTTGGAGTCGATTGTGGGGTCTGGGCTGCTGCTGAGGCTGCTGGGGTTGAAATTCAGTGCTGTGGTGGTGAACCCTGCTGTTCTCCAGGTTCTTGGTGGCTATGAAACTATCCAGGCGTGCTGGGACTGGAGGAGCACGGGCAGGAGGGTAAGCACTTTGGGATGGAGTCCCCAAAGGCACCTCATGCTTCGTGAGTGTTTTATTGTTGGGATGGAAACTCTCGTCGCCATTGTGATTATGGTGGTTTACAATGATGTTGTTATTGTTGCGATATTGCTGTGAGATAGCCTCAACAGAGCGATAGAGCTGGTCCATGGTCTTTGAGTCAGATTGTACAACCTGAGTCGGATTGTAAATGGACTTTACATACTTTAGATCAGCATAGTGGCTGAAGGAGCTGGATTGTAGGTCGTCTGTGAGAAAGTGAGAGGGGTAGTCTGGGGCAGTGGACCCACCGGAGAAGGAGCTGTAGGCAGAGTCTCCTTTGCCGTGTTGGTGGTGGGCAAGTTGGTCGACAATGCTGCTGTTGGACTTGGCTGGAGAAAGCCGGCTGACGGGCAGGCTCAGAGGATGCAGATCCACGTTGCTCATTCTCTCAAAATGGAAGCTGTAAGAATCCATGGAGGACTGGGGCGATTGGCAGGAAGGGAAGGGCAGGGTTTGTAAATATGGTGTACGTGTTTGTGCACTGATGCATGTGTCTTCTTTGTGGGCGAAACTGGGGAAATTACCACCAACACATTTTCACCAGGTTGTCTGTCACGCTCAATGCTAATTAGGTCATTTTCCTGCCTCGTCTTTGTTTATCCAAAGCTCCCTGAAACAGTCTGGTCCTGGGAGAGAAAAAAACAAACAGCACAGATTGGTTATGAGCTTATTCTTAACTCAGGAGTCATGCTCCAGTCATACATTTAGATAAAAAAGACTACTCAAGAGTGAAATGGTTTCACAAAATATGTGTGTTCAAACAGTAAGAGGAAAGAAAGTGTGAAAGGCTGATACTTCAACTATTAGCCGGGTGTAGTCTTCACAAACATTTCCCTGTTTTGGCTGGTTTGCAATGGCATGACAATTGAACACAAACACTTGTGCTAGACTGGCAACTTGGCATGTCCTCTGGAGTAATGGTACACAAATAGCTACACTGCCACACCAAAGAAAAACACCTTCATACTTCAGTTACACTGTATGCATGGCAGAAAATGTTCAATCAGTGACATGTTTGTAAAACTGTCTGGAAAGAAAGATTATTGTTTTTTGCATGGCACTTTGAGCTCTAACACTATGAGAGTGCCAAAAAACAATCAGTCACCAGTGTAAAATCTTTGCCTTCTTGGCATTTCTAGGTCAAATTCTTGTGCTGAGAAATTTTGCTCCATCTGTTGTATGTTGTAAAGACAAATTATATACCCTCTAAGTGGAAAAAAGGTAATTTCTCTTTTTTTTAACAGACGGTAGGTTAAAAAATGTGTATGGCTACCCCGCCGAGTACCTGTGAAGATTTTTTAAAAGGATGATACACACTCCTTGGCACATACCATAGGAACAGGGTGATTTCACTGATTCCTTTATCTTTCACTCATACTTAATCATATCCTGTATTTAAGAGACCAAAATGTTACATTTTTAAAGCTATTTGAAATCAAATAGGTATGATACAGCATAATATGATGATAAATAAGGCTATATCAGATTACATTAATTCTCATGAGGGTCATGGGGGGCTGGAGCCTATCCCAGCTCACTTAGGGCGAAGGCAGTGGACACCCTGGACAGGTCGCAAGTCTATTGCTACATTTAGAGACAGACAACCAAGCACACTCACATTCACACCTACAAACAATTTAGAATCACCAATTAACCTCAACATGTTTTTGGACTGTGTGGGAGGAAGCCGGAGAACCCGGAGAGAACCCACGCTGCACGGGGAGAACATGCAAACTCCACGCAGAAAGATCCCGGGTGTCCTCACCGGGATGCGAACTGCCGACCTTCTAGCTGTGAGGAGACGGTCCTAACCACCGAGCCACCTTGCAGCCCGGAATTCAAAGTGTATTCCCTTATATATTATAACAACTTCTGTCAAGTTTAAAGATCCTCACCTCGTCCTCACTGTAAATTCAAAGATAATAACGTATTGTGAACAAGGTACATAAGGTTTTATGTCTTTTTTGTTGTTGTTGTTTTACTGTTCACACAGTTTACAACAGCTTGGTTTTGTAGGTCTGTACAGTTAATCACCTGTTGAAGGAGTCTGTCTGCCGTTTTGCATGAATAAGACTTCTAATTAAGGGCGTCGAGGCTGGCGGTGCACGTTGCAGCACACACATGAAAGAATGTCAGGAATTCCATATGGAACTAAAGAAATATCTAAGGATTAATCATGTGACAGATGTATAATGAATTGTTGTACAGCCAAGACATCCATAAAAACTAGTCTACGTTTCCCCCCTTATTATTTGTTGCAGACTTAAAGACTTGCTTTATTTATTATTAGTAAAATGCTAAAATGTACTAATTTGTTAGGTTTCACTCAGCTCTACAAACACACATTATATTCCCTTCTATGTAAATCAAGTTGATGTTTTCCAACTGAGACAGAGTATTGTAAAATTAACCCACAAAATATTTACAAATATCATGTAAACATTTCAGAGCCCACCTGGCTCATCACCTATTCTAGCAGCTACACTTTGGAAGATGTTATGCATCACTGCCATCTAAGTCAAACAAGTTTTAAAAAATTGCTTTTTCCCTCATGCATTAGGGACCATGAACTCCCTGGAATGTAAGCCATATAATCACTCCCCTGTAAATCTACATGTAACTGAACTGTTGTGGGATGTATATAGTGTCTACTATGTAAATGGTAAATCGTCTGCACTTATATAGCGCTTTTAACCAAAGCGCTTAACAATGTGTTTCTCATTCACCAATTCCCACACACATTCATACACCAATGGTGACAGAGCTGCCATGCAACTTCGGGTTCACTGTCTTGCCCAAGGACACTTCGACTATGGGGGGATCAAACCACCATCCTTGCGACTGGAGGACAACTTGCTCTACCGCCTGAGCTACAGCCGTCCCTGTAACACATGGTATGTTGTGTGTTTGTGGCTATGTTGCATAGAGCTGCTCCAAACTGTAAAAAATACAAACTATACCAACTTGCTCATTAATGCGAATTTATTTCACTCAGTAATGTTTGGGCCTTTCGAACTGCTGCATCACTCACATTCTCTATTCTCCTTGAGACTGGGAGCCATCATGTCATAACCAGAGTTTAATACCATTTCCAGTCCATGACATGCCAATGACACACCTGACTTCTTGTTGATTCTTCATAATAAGATTCATTATTTGCTGCAAACATACACAGACTTTATTAACCTGCAGAGAATCAGCCCTTCAAGCTAATGATAGGTTTAAGTTTTACAGTGGACTCTAATAACAGGACTCTCTCATGACCTGCATACCTTTGCTTGACTCTGTCATCAAGTCTGAAGCCACATACCTGTCCTGCATACACAAAGGTAAATGTTGGTAATAAAACAAAGACAAGTCGACCAGTTAATCCACATTGACACTGCAGTATTGGTGCGAGGCCTCACCAGCGATGGGAACTGCATGAAATCTTCACATTCTGAATCAGTTGATTTTAATTCTTTTGTTTAAATGGCCAAAAGTTATTTTAGCTTTACTTAGAAAGTGACAACTGAGGCCTCATAATCAATTCCAAGGCGCAAAATTTTGCAAGTGTTCCAAGTGTGTTGGTGGAGCTCAAAAACCTGCATCAAAGATGATCCGAGGTGGTCGTTTTGCATACACACAAAACCCACCTCCCAAGAGCCTTTCAAACTACAGTATTAAGGGGGATTCCATGTGTTTATGAAGGTCTTTCTGATCTGTAGTGTGTCTGTGAGTGTGTGTGTGTGGTTTCCAGCCATCCTCTTTCCTCTGCGAACAGAGAGAGGCTCCCAAACAGGGGAGCGCTCAAGTGGAAGTGATGGAGGGGACAGGCAGTGACAAAATGTACAGAGAGGAGAGAAGGGGGGAGGGAGGGTGAGGCAGAGGGTGACCAGCCCAGACAAATACTCTCACACGCAAACCACAACAACAAGAGACCAGAGAACTGAACAATGACAGAGGAAGGCTGAACAGAAGTTAGAAGACGGGATCAACAGTCGCAACAGCAAGGCCGACTGGGAACTACTCAGACTACATCAGACTGGTTTGAAAGGTTATAAACTTTACAGAGCACCATTAACAAGAAAAACATAGAAAAACTCACCCAAACTTTATGTCTAAGTTGCTGACCTTCCTGATTTCCATCAGAAAAAGAAACAAGTTTCCTAAGTTTAATCTTAAAGAAGGATTAGCCAGATGATTTCCGTCCTTGTTTCTCATTCAGAACATTGTTCTTCTTGTAAAGAGGGACCAGACCAAGTAACCAGGAGAGCCAGATATTAGAGGGAAGACTTCTAGCGGGTCCCTTCTCCCCCCACTGAGACCCGAGGCTGCCTAGTGGGAGCCACTGATTGGCCAGCCGATGACGTCCAGCTCTCCGATGCACAATGAGCGCAGCGGAGGGAATATTTCACTGCTGCAGATAGCTGCTAGTACTGCCGGCCGCCTGAACAACAGAGAGAGAGGGGAGAAAAAAAGAGGCCTCGCATTCCTGGCTGGCTTCAAAGACGGAGCAGAGCCCGGGCGCCATTCATTCCCAAGGCCCTGAGCCCGGCACATGGAGACTAGCCAAGGCAGGAGGGAGGTCGGAGGAGGGGAGGGGGTAATGGTGGTGGGGTGGGTGGGCATATGGGTGACCTCCCAGCCTCCACCAAAAAAAAAAAACTGTCACAAAGACTAGCTATCCCCCACTATTACTCTTTTTCTAACATCTATTAGTCTCCCCTATATTCTTTAATTCTTGGTAATGACTTGACAGCTATAAAGAAGTTACACAGCTAATCATCGACCGACCCCAGAAATATCTAGTCAGTATTACTGCAGTGCGACGACGCAAACGTTGTCATTACTGTCATGCATTTTGGAAACTTTGTTCAATTCATTTAGCATTACTGGTGACCTGTTTTTATTTTTACAAATGTAATTCAAACTCTGTTCATTATACAATAAATGACCATGGTTAAAAGGACAGTGGGACCTTTAATTGACAGGTTGGGTTTATCAAATTATGAGGATTTACTGGCAAATATGCTATCACAAACTTAAAATACAGCACTAAATTTGCACATATCACAAGGATTTAAGCCTGGTATTAACCACAGCATTGAATCGGGACAGTGGTCAGTCTGTTACATGGTCAAACTCACTTTCACGAACAACACCAGCCCTCGAAACTCCTGTGTGATTGTGTAGTGTCAGACAAAGACCCTTGTTGCCTTCACTATTGTTTTCTATTGAGGCTGGCAGCACTAGCGCTCAGCTATGCTGTGAGTGTTTCTCATTGTTAGAACAGTGTCAGACAAAGTGGAACAAAGAGCTGGACCCTTGTTCTGTTGGTGGTATCGCCTCTGCTGGCGAACTTATTCCACCTGTTCCAACTCTTAATGTGCAAATCTGTAGTGTTAATATTCATTTATAATTAAATACACACATTTTTGGAAGCCCCAAAGCCAGTACCAACAGAATATCAATACCGCTCAAATGAACAAGAATTAAAAATATGTATAAATACTGCTTTTACCTAGTTTTGTTAATTGGGTTTCATTTGCTCAAGTAAAACACATTTTTATTTATTAAATAGTTTGAAATAACATAAAAATGCACTGATTTCTGGGCCGCCGCTATAGCTCACCTGGTTGAGCTG